CTGAAAGCTCTATTCTTCTACCATGCTCACGAGCTGTGAGAGAGTTTGTTGCACTCTAAGAGAAGAGAACAACTGCTGCTATTTTCAGTTCTGCCAGTGCATCTTCTGCCTCCTTTAACTTGCAAGTTCTTCGGAGCAGGAACCATCTTTGTGACTTGCTTATAGTCAAGGATATGTGGAGTGCTGTACACAGCCTATTCTGTTTAATGCTCACAGATCAGTGTTCGTCAAGAAAGAAACATCTAGCAATCTTGCTGAACAGAGAAGCAAGGTTAATTTGAAGTAGAGAAGTTGCTAGAATCACTTCCCCCCCAAAACTTTTTTGGAAGCCTGTATTATCTTTATGCAGCCACTCCAGTTACTATCCACAAGTGCCTCCTCATTATTTTTTTTTGTAATCAATGCAGTCAGGGATACACCAAGACAATTTGTTAGTCCATCCTCTTGGGACTCTAAACTACACATAGCAAATTCAGGCAGATGTGTGCGTACAGTTAAGTTCTTCAAAAGCTGCTTGTCTTCACCTGGTTTGTATCACTAAGAGGAGGAAATAACAATGACCTTGTATGCCCCAATTTTCCTGTTAGTTGTTTCACAAAATAAGATCTTTTCAGTAGCTCTACGTTCGCACTATTTCACCTCATTTATCAGTGTGCCTGCTTTGCTTTGTCCATCCTGTCTCCAGATAAAATATTTAAGAGCCTTCATTTCCCACCTTTGCCTGTCTGGAGTGTTCTACCTTTTCACTCTGGAATCATAAATGGAGAAAGCAGAAGCACACCACTTATCCCAAGCAACCCTAATCTTTCTCCACTGGAGTGGGGAGCAATTATCACAAAAGGTACAGATGTCAGTCTCCAACTGCTTAGGGGTAAGTTACAAACAGAGAGGAGAGATCAAAAGCAAATAAAAGTTTTAGAGGAGAAAGTCTGCTTGCTCCTCTCTGCAAGCTAAGTCTTGCAGACAGCAATGAGGAATTCATTTGTAGGTGCATGAAAAGTGCTCTCAAGGTCCTCTTCTTGCCCCTATTACTGCCCTCCAGCCTCTACACTGGTATTTATGGAGTAACCCCCACAAAAAAACAAACAAACAAACAAACACAACAGAAAGCAGAATTTTACAAGCCAGGCACTGGGCAGGAGGACCAGGGCACATCTTCCATTTTGACCTAATCTGAAACTCTCTGGTTTTTCCTGCCTATAAATATAAACCAATGATTCTCAACCAGGGTGCTGGGGAACCCTGAGGTGCCACAAGGCATGAAGAAATAAGCAGATAAGCTAGGGTCAGGCTTGTCCCTGCCTGAATGATCCCCTACCCCCACAGCCTGGCCCCTCTGCAAAGAGGTAAGCACTCATGTAGTTTTTGATATTAGGTGCCACTCAGTTTACAGATGCTACAGAGGGTGCCCTGAATCCCGTGAGGGGTGCCTCAAGTCCAAAAAGATTGAGAACCACTGGTATAAATTCTTACAGAACCTGCACAGACAAGCAGGGTTGAAAGGAACTGCCCTGTGTCATCCATTCCCCAGACAAGGGTTTCCCCTAGGTACATCTCACCATGTTGCTGACCATACAGTATGATCAGTCCCGCCAAGTAAGTAAGTGTTTCCTCTGAACTTGAGCTCAATCACAGGAACGTTCCCCCCACCCTCATACTCGGGGAATAAAGGCAATACTTCTCCTTCCTCAGGCTTGTCAATTTAAGACCCCACTGGTCAATTCTTGCTATCCCTGAGGTAAGCACCTACCATACAGACAAACATAACAACTGTATCAATATCAAAGGATAAGGACAGAAGCTGTTCCCTCTCCTTGACTATACTTGTGCTGCCACAGAATCACATTGCTGCAATTTTAACTCTCTTTCATTGAGGATCAAAGTTAGCTAAACTGCTCAAATTTGTCCAGGATCACGCAGACTTAAAAGCTAGATCAGAAGAGCAGCTCCCCATCCCTTTTTAAAGTGGCTAAAGGATGCATCTGCCCATTCCTCTGATGACACCCTGAATGGTAAAACAGAAAGGCATTAAGTGACCCTGGGGACAATATACCAAACAAACAAAAGTAACCAAGCAAGTTGGGTGCCTAATTCCCATCAATTAGCTGCTTGGAAACTTCTGAAAGCCCCCACTAGGTGTCTATCCTCTTTAGACACCTAATACTTTTGTAAGTCTTGCCCCAAATCCATAGTAAATCATCCAAACAAGTAACCCGAGTTTCAAGCCAAACTACTTATTCAGATTCTTAAGCATGGATTTAGAAGCCTCACTTTAAGCATGAGCTTATTTCAAAACACTAGCCAGAAACATTACATACTAGGTCATTCATTTAGAATGCCAGCTAGTCTAACAACAGTCATGGCTTGGTTTTGTATTTAAATGTCATGCCTTCCAGTTCTAATCTGTTCGATTTACAAATCAAAAAGAATATTGTTCTAAGTGCCAGCTCTGAAGACTCCCTCTGGGATCCAGGAGTCAAATTTCTTCCCCGGCTTCTGAAATTCTCATTGGCAAGAGATTCTGCAATCAAAAAGAACTGACAACATTGTTAATGATGCGTGAGACAGAATAGAACCCAGCACCGTCTCCTGTAATGGCACTGGTTCTGCAGGAAGAACAGATGCCAAAAACTTGGCTTTGTCAAGCAGGCAGATACCTTACATACATATAAGGAGCCAAAAGAAAAAGAAAAAAAAATACAAAAGGTCTCACTTTAGCAGCTTTTCTACTCATAACCACACTGCAAGTAGTTTGCCTAGACAGAGTTTGAACAAGTTCAGATGGGACTAGCTGAGAGAGAGTTACTTCTCACTGCCTGGCCTCAGGTGTTATTTTTAGGGTTGGATCAGTAGTTGCAGAAGCCAGCCACAAAGGCAAGTCACCAATACAGCCTCACCAAGCCTGTTTCCCAGAGGGAGCTGTCTACTGAAAATTAACTGGACCTGATAAATATTCCCACCCTACTTAGTGCTTCCCCTCCCCCGCTTTCTCCACCTCCAGAGGCCAGCGACCTTCCCATGACAATTTCTTTTTCCACACTTCACCCTCCTTTCTAGAGTGTCAACCCAGCTATAATTCACTGGGGGTTATCAGTAACATTCAAGGAGCTGAGGAGCTTTAGGGCAAATCAAGACACCATCTGAAGTTTATTGTCAATTTGTTGAGGCACCAAATTAAGGGTTTTAAAGTTGTATTTTCTTTTGGAAACATTAATGACTCTCCGTTAACTGGAACTCCAGTTGCTTAATAAAACACTGCCTAAATTCAGGTAGATCCTTATACTATACCTGCTCCTGAGTATTTACAATTCTAAATGAAGTTTGCAAGCTCACTGTTATATATTTTTAAGTTACTTTAATTCAATGTCCCAGTCCTGCACTGACAGGCAAAAGAATTACACAAAGAGAGGAGGAAATGGATTGATTATTCAGGGAAACTAGTGGAACTGATTATACAGTGCAATGTCAGATGCATAATGTAAACAAAGACAGAGAAGTGTTTTCCCTCTAATCACTCTTGAGGATTTCAAGTGTTACTTGTAACAGTTTAAAAAACAAAACAAAACAGGTAGAAGTGCTATTTTTAAGGTGACGGCATCCCCTTAAACTTTCCATTATTGGAAAATGAAACAAGGGAAGCCTCTACTTCACAGGAGAATCAGAGAAAGAAACCAAGCTAGTTCAGTTTCACCAAGTAAAAAAATAACATGTCAGTGCGGTGGAGAACAGAGAACAGGCTTTTTCTATTTGCCGTCTGTAATAATGGGTTAGCGACAATATAGGTAAGGCTGGTGGGAGTGGACAGATTTTGATTGCCAACACATCTTCTTAACTGGGCTCCCCATTCTTGTTTTAAACCAGAGCATCCCAGAAGACCCATATTTTTAAACATTTCTATGGCCCTCCCAAACAGGTAGGAGGGGAGTAATTCTCCTGGAGAACCATTTTGAATGCTCAGACTTGGCAGCTCACACCCTCAAAGCCTTATACAAACATTAGCTAAGGAAGCCCCTCAGCAACCTGAAGAGGCAGGGAAAGAAATTATTAACCCTGTTTTAGAGAGGGAGACAGACCCAAGAAGGTTAAGAGGCTTGTCCAGAACCACTGTTTGAGAAAGGATTAGTGGATGCACTGTTAAAGTGACCAGTCCCAAAGTTTCTAGGCACCTCTTAAGATCCAAACTAAGGAAATCCTGATGTCTGTGGTCATTCCCTGAACCGCACCTGCCACTCAATGAAATGCTCCTGACCCTCCCTTGCCATACAGGATTGGAGTTGGAGGGTGGAGGGGGGAGCATTGCAATGTGCGTCAAGCAAAACATGGCTGATAGCAGCAATTCACAGGAGAATTCTCTAACTTGAGTCACTGCCAAAACATGGGAAAGGAGGGGGTTTCCTTTGCCTTTTTAATCTGCCCAGTAAAATAAAACCCACATCTGTGCATGAAGATGTTATGACAATACCACTGCCAGGGGGAAGGAACTGGAGACTTTAGCTGTCATCCCATTAGAAGGTGGGACCATTCTGGGATTTTCAGAACAAGCAGTGAACCCTATAGGTAACTATGGCACCCAGAGCCGCCTAAACCACAGGCATGTTTCAGCAGAGGCAGCAGCAGGACCCCAGCCATACGTTTAAAACAGAAATTCCTGTGACTGCTGAAATGCACTGCTGGTTTTCACAGACATGCAAAGGGCTGAAAGACTGAGAGCCCAGCCATAGGGAGCAGGGAGGACCAATCCTTATCAGCCCGAGGAAAAGAGGGGGAGAAGACTGGCCAAAAAGATTTATTCTCACAGCATATCTCTGCATTCACGTTCCCTCCCAACACCTCATACTCCCCCCTTCCCCCCCTTTTACCGCATTGCACTGGGGGCCCTAGAGTAAGGCACCCACAAGGCATTTAAGGGTTATGGCCCAGAGGCAGTGAGATTTTTGAATGCATCTAAGCAGGCCTAAGTTACTTAAATATAGTTACCTTCAGGAGGAAAGTTTTAGGCTTGGGTCCTCTCTTCTTAGGCCCATACAGCTCCCGCTCCCGTTCCCTTTAGGGAGCCAAATATTGAGACATCAAAAGTTT